TTACGACTAAAATAGTTGTAAAAGTTGCCCACAAAAACTACACGGTTTAAAACTTTTGACAATGATCAAATTAGAATGACATTCTATGATATAAGAAAAACAAGGTCATGAAAAAGTACCTGTACACGGCCCAAGTAGCTCATATTAGCACATTCATCGTCGCCAACTAAAAATAATAAAGTAAGTAGGCAAAAAGGAATTTTTTAAAGCTTAAAAGTCAAGTTAAAGTGGTAAAGCCGCACAAAACTGGGGTTTCTACTCAATTTTGGAAATTTTACTAGCTACTTTTTGATTTAGGCCATAAATGGCATTAAAAACGGACTACGAGGCGTTTTATACTTTGTGAAAGCTGCGTGGCAGCCATTCTAGAATGAAACTTGTTAAAAACTTGAATGGAACTAGAAACCAACTAAAATGAAACTAACAACTAGAATGAAACTTGCTAAAAAGTATTCAATTAAAGGACAGAAAACTGTAAAACACAACAAAACTTAAAATTTCAAACATTATACCTTGTGCGTGAAGTGGCGAGAAGAAGACGCCAAGGAGGAGAAGCCAGAAGAGAATCATGGAGAAAGATGAGAGAATGATAAAAATTGAGAAAAATGGTTTCTTTTAAATGAATCATAAATGCTAATTTAAGTCTTTCTTTGTAAATTATTGTTTGTCTGCAAAGTCAATTGGAAAGTTGTGTCTTTTAAAATTTTAAACCTTTATCATTGTAGCTTTTCTACTCAAAGAATTAAAAATTTTAGCATTTCGTTCTGTCGACACATTTCTCTCCATCAGCCACTTGACGCACGAAACCCGGCTTACAGTAGCACTCGTTGTGGTAAAGTTTTCGATTGCATTTCTAAATTGATTATAAAATTTAGATAATAGATTTAGTCATAAAAGATATCTTTATATATTTTAAGGATAGTTTGATCTTTCCAAGCATTTCTCTGACTTGAACGATTCGCCGAGCTTTGTCCGTAAAGCTCGGCTCGACAAAGCTCGGCTCGACAAAGCTCGGCTCGACAAAGCTCGGCTCGACAAAGCTCGGCTCGACAAAGCTCGGCTCGACAAAGCTCGGCTCGACAAAGCTCGGCTCGACAAAGCTCGGCTCGACAAAGCTCGGCTTACAGTAACACTTGTTATGGTAACCCTGTTACGTGGCTAAAAGAGATTTTTAAGAAACTATTATTTGGATAATACAGTAAACATTTGCCGTACCTTGTTATTTGGATCTCGTCCCGCTTTGACGTCATCACAATTCTCTTGACATCGCGGATCGCTGCCGGCCTTCTTGCGGATTGAATTCGGATCAGCGCATGGCTCTGAAAATGGATTTTCCACTCTTAACACATTCACGACAAAGTCATTTTTGTCTTGGCTGCCGTTTTGGACGATAGCTTAGTTGTAGATCTGAAAATTTGTAACCGAAGGCATTCTGGGATGGAGAATCTGAATCCGTTATTAGTTTTTGAGCAACTTTAATTCCCAAGCCAATACGGCCATCACAAAACTCTAAAAACTCGGATCATTAAACTAAATTGGAGAGAAAAAGGCGTAATCGAGCCTAGGTTTTGTCCTTTATCCTTATAGGTCGTGTGCCAGAAGCCGCGCGATTACGTAAAGATTAAAATTTTCACGTTTTTGTAATCACGCATCTTCTGGCACACGGCTCTAGATGTCGGGTTGCACTTGGGTAATTAAACCGAATGAAATATCTAAAAATAGAGCAGTTTTCTTTAAAAACTAATAACGGATTCGAATTTGAATTTTGAAAACCCATGATTGCAAATTTTCAGCTCAATCGGCTTCAAAAAGAGTGCTAAATCTACGTACGGCTACTGGTGAGCCGTATCAACGAATGTGTTAAGTAATTTGTTTAGACGGAATATTTGCAATGTAAAATTGCCTATCCTTATCTATCTAATTGTAAACAAGCTGGCGTTGAAAGAAGATTGTGTTCCTTTCTCGTGTAGTGTGTCCAAAATGTGCCACTTTTCGAAGCTGCCGTCAATCTTGGCTTTAATTTTTATCCAATCTGTTCACTTTTTGTATCTTTTGGTACCTTAGTGAACCTTTACAGTATCAGACCAAAAGTAGAGCGATCATTTCAAAACTAGAGCCAAGATTACGATAGCTTTTGAAAGGTAACACGTTTTAGAAAACGCAGAAGTCGTGGAACTAGTGAGAAAGGCTTCTTAAGCCTAAACAAGTTATTAAAAAACTAAAAACCTTTGAAGCTCTTTGTCAGTGCAAAAGCTGTATAGATATATCTGATTTCGGAGCTAAAGGTTTTAATATAAAAATCTAAAAACCAACTCTCAAAATCATCCTCAGGACTCGCCGCACAGACGAGGGCCAACGCCAAAAACACCAAGAGTTTTCGGTTCATTTTTATAAATCCAAAAAACCTTTCTTTAAACAGAACACTCTTTCCTTTAAATATAGTCAAAATCTTTTTCATTTCCTCATTTTTGTTTAGATTTTTCGGGGGAATTAGTTGCAAAAATAAACAATTTCTCCGTTGTATCATTTCCTAATTTTTCTGATCTGATTTCCAAAAAATAAACTTTAGATCAGTTTAGAGCGATCAGTTTGGAATCAAAAATGAAAAAAGAAATAGGCTTTATTGAGTTGTTTTCAAACAATCCTCTTTTGTGACACATTTCGCCGAATCGTGGGTTAAACGATCAAAACCCGGCTTAGACTGGACCGGACAATGGACCGGGCCGGACAATAGACCGGGCTGGACAATAGACCTAAGCCGGACAATAGACCTAAGCCGGACAATAGACCTAAGCCGGACAATAGACCTAAGCCGGACAATGGACCTAAGCCGGACAATGGACCTAAGCCGGACAATAGACCGAACCGGGCTAAATCAAGTCAAAGCTTTGGCTTTTACTTTCCCCAAGATTCAAGCTCAAAGTTTTTCCTCAATAAACGTTTTAGAGTAAGATAATGATTAAAAGAATTGTTTAAATAGACTTTTTGTATATTATTATTTCATTTAAGAAGTCAAATATCAATTTGTAAGACATTCAAATAAGTTTTTGATACTTTTAAACAAGAAAAAGCCTAGCTTTAGGCCTAGCCTTAGGCCTAGCTTTAGACCTAGCTTTAGGCCTAGCTTTTGAAGCCAAGAGTGCTAACTAGCCATGAGTCTGTCTAATTTCATAATTTCTTTTTAGATTTGAACTCGAATTGAACTCGTACACTGATCTTCTCCTTTTTTATGTAGTTTGTGCTTGGTTTTGTGATCAGGGTCATGGTGTTTTTTGGAGAGGAAACGGGAAAAGAAACCGGGAAAGACGACTCAATGCAAATAGAAATCACTCAAATAGCTCAAAAAGAATGAAAAAAGAGAAAACCCCCCGACGAGTCATTTCTTTTTCGAAAATCGCCTGTTCACAACCGAGTTTTTTCATTCTCTGAACCTTTCTGTTATCGATCAAAGCCAAGCGCAAAAATAAATCCACCCAAAAGTAGTTTGTTGCTCGATTTTATTGATGATGCAATTTCTTTCAATCAACATTTCACTTTACATGCTGTTTTCAATGAGAATTTTACAACTTGTTACCCAAAATTATCTCTGTGTCAACTTTTTAAAAGTATTTCTAAATAAAGATGTTCAAACAAGGTTCTAGAGTCTGTAAGAAAGGCCAGGCCAGGCCAGACCAAGTCCTCTAATCCTGATCTGGTTCAACTTTGTCCTCTAGCTGATTCAGATACTTTTGTAGGTCAGGCTAGACCAGACCCAGATTCAGCCTGGCCTCTGGTTGTTCCTGGTCCTGCTTATGGACAAGTCCAGAACCAGGTGCAAGTATGGAAGTCCAGAACCAGGCCAAGCTATGCAAGTCCAGAACCAGGCCAAGCTATGCAAGTCCAGAACCAGGCCAAGCTATGCCTTGGCCTTGTTTCAGAATATCCATAAACCTTTAAGACAGGGTCAGTTCAAGTCAGATTTAAGTTTGGTTCAGGTTTAAGTTTGGCTTCAGACTGATTCAAACACTTTGTAAGCAAATCCGGGATCAGATCTGATCAGTGCGAAGCCAAGTCAAAGTTAGGTTAATCGAGCTTGCCTAGCTTAGCATATCTTTGCTTAAAAAAAAAGCTATAACAGCTTTTCAAGTTCTATAACTATAAAATAACGGCTCTATAACAGCTTTTCAACTACTATCGAAAAACAAACCCAATCCCGTCTACAGTAAATCAAATCAAATCCCGATAGAATTCATTAATTTCCATTTTTCTGCCCATTTCTCTGATTTCCGATAGAAACCAGAGAATTTCCCAAGAGTTTCCATGGTATCGGAAATTTCACCTCCGAATTTCCCCTCTTATCACCCGTAAATTCAGTTTTTTTTTTTCCATTCTCTATTCATTCAAAAAAACGAAACATGATTTCATTTTAAACTCTCAATTATTTATAAGCTTTTCACTTGTTTTACTTGATTGATTTTACAAAATTTAAGGATTTATTGCTTTTGACGAATCTTGAGTCTGATTTTATCCCAAAAATCCTAGACAAACTCATTTGTAAACAGTTTGGCCGTGTACTAAGTCTTAAAACTTTTATATTTTATGTTTCCAACCTCAACATAAACCCCATTGATACTACTTTGAGCTCAAAAATTTTGGATTACTCTCTCCCTGATGTTGATGTTGATTTGATCTGTCTTCGCACTTAGCTCAGATCACAACCTGCTTCCACATTTACTGAGGCAGAAGTGTAGTTGTCGTAGCCGATGATACTCCGATGGCCGGGCTGGGGCGCTCGGAGGGGAACCCATGGGAGTCGAACCCACGACTAACCCGCGCCGACGTTGCTCAACTTGGCAGATCGGACGGGGTCGACCACAGACCCTTCCCTTTCTGGGCCGCCCTCTCTCCCTGTTGCGCTCGATTTTTCAATTTTTTACTTTTGTCCCCATGGAGACTGATTTAGTGATCTCAAATGTAACGCTTTCTATAAACTGTAACTTTTTAAGCTTTCAGCATTTGAAATGACTCAGCCACCCGATTATTCAACCGAAGAGCCCTCTCGAATTCCGCCATTTTCGGGGCAAAACTTTTCCCCTGTTGCTGACTTTTTTTGGACCCCCGCCCGCCTACGAGGAAGTGGTTGGCGGTGGAGGAGGTGGGAACGGGTTTTGGAGATAATAATAATAATAATAATAATAATAATAATAATAATAACAATAACAATAATAATCCCCAACTTTCATTTCATATTTCAATTCATACCAACTGGAGTTACCAGTGGTGGGTTTATTGCATACACGATCAATCACAATCACAATACTCAACGATCTACAGTGGGTTAAGTTAAGATCTAGCCTAGTATTGGCTAGATCTTAACTTAACCCACTGTAGATAGTTCTGAAATTTATGGAAATTATTAAACTCAAATTTGTATGTTTCTAAAAGTCTTTACTGTAAGCAGACGATTCGACGAGGCTACTGTAGCTTAGACGAGTCGTATCTAGAGTGTCTTCCTCGCGAGCAATTCGTTTTTTAAAACGCACACTTGGGAAAAGATTAGCAAAAATTAGCAAACTTTTAGCAAAAATTATTGCAAAAAAATGACGCAAAAATGACGAGCCCCGCGTTATATACGACACTTTTTTAAGATACTCAGCCGTTTAACTGATTTGGTGGGAGATGGGGATCTCCCACCAAATCAGCACAGATAACGTCAAGGATCCACTAGAGCTTCAAGATCAACATTATCTACAGATAATTTCAATGTTTCGAGACTATTGGACTCTCTCAGAATTTGGAATCGACTCTGGGGAGTCGATTCCAAATTCTGGCAGTTCTTATTGGAAAAGAGTTATACACAAACTTCTTGGAGGTGACTGGAATTTCTAAAACTAAGAATTTCTAACGAAAGAATCTCTCCTTGAACTAACCGTGGGATTAACTTTTTCTCGAAATATAAATCTCGAAAAAGAGGGATAGGTTGCCTAAATATACAAAAATGAAAGTTTAATAAATTTCAGAAAGACCGACTCGTTTGGCGCCGAAGCTGACCGGCGATGGATGGGCGGCGGAGAAATCCGGGAAAATCCCGATTGGTTAGTGAGAGGAGATGAGTTAACAATTGTAGATTTCTAGAAACCTCACCAAAAACAAGTCCAGTGGACGATCGTCAAGTGGCGATGATGGCAAAAGTGGAAATGAATCGAGATGAGGAAAATGAGAGGATGATGGAGGAAGAGAATGCGATAAATGAGCAGGATATCGATCAACCATCGACGAGTTGTCAAGGTTTGTTGGGAGAGCATTGATCAAATGTTTCTTTTGCTTAAAATATTCTGGAAATCGTTTTAAAGCTAAGCTAGTGCTAGTTTAAGTTAGCTGAAATAGCTGAAGTTGAAGTTAGCTGGGTGATGACATCTTTCTTTGAGGGTAATTGCGTTGAGCCGGGTTTTCAGAGGGAGGAATCCAAATCCGAGAACATTTTTTGAAAATGATGTATTATATCATAAATGGAATTTGTATTGTATCGTATAACGGTATATTTACTTGTTGGGATGAAAGACTGTATACAAATTACAAATTTGGCTTGCAAATTGAGCTTTGGCGGAAGTATTAATACCCGTTTCGTATTCTAACGGTCAATTTTCAGATTTTATAAACTTTTTGTAGTTTGCAAGTTTGTAAATTGTTAAATTTGTAAAAAAAAACGATCAAGAGGGTTTCGTTTCAAAGAATTAACATTTAAAAAAAAGAGAAAACTGACTGAATTCTCTAAAATTCTCTAAAATTCTCTAAAATTCCTCTAAAATTCTCTAAAATCCTTTAAAATCCTTTAAAATCCTCTAAAATTCTCCAAGAATTCTCTAAAATTCCTCTAAAATTCTCTAAAATCCTTTAAAATCCTTTAAAATCCTCTAAAATTCCTCTTATTTAGATTCCTCTTATGCAGCTCGTTTGGAGCGAATGTTTGGAGAGTGTGGTGAGCGATTGGAAAGAAGATTCGAGATGTTGGGTAGATCGATCGAGAATCAATCGAATACAGCTGGCCATGTGATTGAGAGAGAAGCGGGCAAGATTGGGGAAAAGTTCGAGAAGTTTGTTTTTTTTCCATTTGGGAGAAGAAAGAAGAATTTAAAAACAAACTAGTACAGTGAACAAACTAGTACAAACTAGTACGTTTTCTAAATGTCTAAAAACTATCGTAATCTCAGTTCAACTTTTATTCCAATCTAACCACTTTTTGTCTGATTCAGAAAGGATTCTAAAAAGATGCAAATTAGATATTTTAAATAAAGGTAAAGCCAGAATTACGGTAATTTCCTAAAATAGACATATTCTAGAAAGCTTTCCCTGTTTTCCTGATAACATTACCGATTTCTAACATTTCCAAACTTATCACGAAACTTTTGATCTAGCTCTGTGAATCAATGCTGCGTGAAGAGGTGATTCATGTTGTTTCAGTTCAAAAAAATCTAACAATTTGTCGAAATTTGTTGAAATTTGTCAAATTAATCATTTTTTACACTAATTAACATCAAAATTAATGAAATTTCAATGAAATTTCAATAAAATTCCAATAAAGTTCCCCAATTTTTAGACTCTTCACCGCGACAAACAAGAAATTCGACGCTGAGTGCACGTGGGCACAAAAGAAAATGGAAGCGACGCAATTGAAAGAAAAACAAAAACAAGAAGAGAAGAAATTGAAAGAAGTAAAGATTTTATATATAGCCGATTATGAATTTTAGCTGATTATGAATGAGCTGATTATGAATGAGTGGGTTTAGGAGCATCCAACCATCAAGTATTTGGTCTCATTCAACGCAGAATCATTAATAATTATGTTAAATTTTTTAAATTAGAAAGATTGGATAAAAAGAAAAAGAATTATGGGGCTTCAAAGTTTTCTCTTGAACAAACAGTTTTTTTTGCTCTAATTTTTTTTCTTTTTATCCAATCTTTCTAATTTTAAAAATTTAACATAATTATTAATGATTCTGCGTTGAATGATACCAAATACTTGATGGTTGGATGCTCCTAGACCCACTCATTCATAATCGGCTGAAGTGCATAATCGGCTGAAATGCATAATCGGCTACGGGGGTCCCGCCGACTTTGAATGAAACATTGTAGCGCCGGCAATTTTTAACCTAAACTCACAAATTTTGGTACCAATCGACGCAGAATTTAATTCGCTACAAAATGATTTAATATTGTCCACATACATTAAAGGGTTGCTCTACTGAAACTGAAACTGAAACTAGAAAGATACTACTAGAAAGATTTGCCTACTCGCTTTACTAGAAAGATTTGCCTACTAGCTTTACTAGAAATATTTGCCTACTCTCTTTACTAGAAAGATTTGCCTACTAGCTTTACTAGAAAGATTTGCCTACTAGCTTTACTAGAAAGATTTTCCAAAAAAATTTCATTCATAATCGGCTACGACATATAGATAAATGCAAATTTAATTTCTAGGGTTGGAAAGAAGAAAAACAAAAACGAAGAGAGAAATTCGATGAATTGAAACAAAGGAAATCCGAATTGAAAAAAGAAAAGAAACGGTTGAGAGAAGAGTTGAAGAAAGTGAAGAAACAAGAAGAAGAGGATTGGAAGTGAGTCAACAAAGATAAGTTAAAGGGAACATAAACAGAAGTAGATGATAAATTGTTGAGAGTATACTGTAGACTTGTCTATTAAGGTGTGCTTTGGTGTGTACTTTGTGCTGATTGTCAACCCTAAACAAACCCCTTTCAGCACATTTGTTTTATCATATTTCTCGCAGAAACAACTCACTGTTGAAAGGAAATTAAAAAGCTTAGTGCGCCATAGAGGGAGTGTTTACAATTTCGAGCATAAAGTACACGAAATATTTGTACTTTAGAGCTTTAATTTTGAAAGCTTTTAGTACTACTAGTTCTTGGCAAGTATTACGGTACTTTTTAAAAACGAGTTAGCAACTAAACCCTTCACTTTCTATAGTAGACTTTTTCTTTTGTTCAACATAAAGACACCCTTTCTATTTCATTGAATTTCCATTCTTGTGGAGTCATTTTGTTGCTGGCAAAAACCTCAATGCACTAGAAAATGAGTGTTTACAAGATTTGAGCAAAAATATACACTACTGGACAATGAAATATCATATTTGAAAAACACTTTCGCACTTTCGCGCGTCTGTAACTCCCTTGTATTTACCGTATTTCTAAATATTAATCTTACCATTGTGTAGCCCTTGAAAAGAGCTTTCAGAAAATGTATAACACTAATAGTTTAAACGCAAAGACAATGGAGTTACAGACGCGCGAAAGTGACGATCGTTTTTCAAATATCATATTTCATTGTCCAGTACTGTAGGTGCCCAAAGAAAGGCCAGAAAATGTAACTGAAACTGTTCAGAAGCTGTTTAGAAGCTGTTCAGAAACTGTTTTCGAAAACTCTTGGGATGGCGAAAGGAAAGCCTCTCCGCCTTTACGCTGGCAAAAATCAGTGTGCCAGAAATTCGAGAAAAGCCTTCATTTTTTCGAAATTCAAATGCCTCTAACTTTGTGCGTTTTGTCGATTAGCGGTTTTTGAAAACAATTTCTGAACGTACATTTGAAAAAAGATCGTCACTTTCGCGCGTCTGTAACTCCCTTTTCTTTACCGTATTTCTAAATATTAATCTTACCATTGTGTAGCCCTTGAAAAGAGCGTTCAGAAAATGTATAACACTAATAGTTTAAACTCAAACACAAGGGAGTTACAGACGCGCGAAGGTGACGTTCGTTTTTCAAATATCACATTTCATTGTCCAGTACTGTACATCTACTTTTTGGCTTAAAAATCAATTTCAAACTTTAGAGAATTCCACAAGAGAAAAGAGGCCGAATGGCATGAAAAGCTGAAAGAATGGAAAGAGATGTGGATGAAGAAATACAAGAAGAATAAGGAAGAGACAAAAGAGGCAAAAGAGGCAAAAGAGGCAAAAGAAAAGAAGAATGGTGAGGAGATTTGAAGATTTTCTGATAATAATGAAATAATAGGTTGATGCATAAGTCTTTTCGTTTTTTTCGTACTTCTGTTAAAAAGTAACAAATTCACCAATTAATCTATAGTTTGCTCTATAAAAAAGTGTTTTTTTGTTCAATTTGCATCTTTTTAAATGAATTTCGGTTCACTTTCAAGCAAATTCGAGAGTGAAAAACGCCTTTTTCGTAAAAATCTATAAAAAACTCTACGGAAAAATTGGCTGAATGAATTTCTCTGAAATTTTGGCGAAATATCAAACGTTTTTTTTCTCTATCTTTTATCTATTGACACGAAGATAGGTTTTCTTTAGCTAAGGTGTCTAAACCGCTCAGGCTCAGGCTCAGGCTTAGGCTGAGGCTTAGCCTGAGCCTGAGCCTGAGCCTGAGCCTAAACCGCATCATCGAGTTAGCCCTTTTTGACTACCCGACTTCATACTCTCAAGAAAATCCAGGCATTCAATATTTTTAAACCCGTTTTAATGTTATTTTGCAGAAAAATAATTCGTTTTTCTAATGAAATCAACCGTAGTTTAATTCGTGCATTTGTTGGCTTGAAACGGCAGACGAAAAGGAACAAAAACACTTATGCATCAACCTAATAGTATCAAAATTTGCGCTTTTTTGGCTATAAAAGCTTTTCAGAATGTTCGATCTCAGCATCGACTTCTTCAGCCACTACTCCAACCACTCCTACGAAAGAATCACAATCTCCAACAATTGAATAGATCATTTATTTCTAGTTGTACATAATAAATTAATTTGATATTTGATTGAATATCTTTTAGTTTAATAACACAAAATTTCAGTCAATTCCTCTCAACTAATGGCTTTCTAAATGCTAACTTTCTCGATTACCGTAATTTTGTCTCTTTTTTATTAAAATCCATCAAATTTTTTTCTGTTTTCAATATAAACTTATTTGTAAATTTAAAAAAAATCCCACAGGATGCTCTCGTTCGATTACTACATGGTATAAAAGAGTTTTGTCGCCAATGTGTTAAACAATTATCTCTTTTCAGGTCATACGTGAAGATGCTATGCCAGGTTGAGTTGGATCATTTCAGCATCAGCAAATCCGCCATTAGCCTAAATAGATAAATTTCGAGATCATCCGCGCGTTTAATCCTCTTACATATTTGACTGAAGACAGAATGAAGATATTCGAGACAGAATATCTTTATTCTGTCTTCCTTCTGACATAGTTCCTAGCGCTTTATGTGTTGACAGAAAAACTGGGACGTGTGCAATTGAGCGGCTTTGACAACGTGGGCTTTGACAGCGTGGGCTTTGACAGTTTTTAGACCAATACTGTTTTCCATAGCGTTAAGAAAGTTACCGTATTTTCTCTAATGTGGGCTGTGTTGTTTGTTCAATGATTGTTCAATGCTTTTTAAGATACCGTATTTTCTCTAATAATAGTGCACCCTGAGCGTCGCCTAAATTCCTCGAAATCTCGAGAACCGCTTATCAGAACCTATCGATGTGGGGTCGGAAAATGTAGCTGACGATGAGATCTAGTGGGGGATTTGAGTGTTGAGCTTCTGTGAAAACTTGGAAACTGTAAAATAGTCATCAACTCGGCTCAGCGCGGTGCACTACTATTAGAGAAAATACGGTATTTGTAGCCGAAAGTACTACTTGTCCTTGTCTGATCTGAGTCTCTCAGATGCTCAAATCAGACAAGGATACTCAAAATCTGAGTATCCTTGTCTGACAAAACACTCTTTGTAGAACCGATCTTTTGCAAGAACTCATTAAAAAGCTTCAGAAAATTGTTGAACTTTTTGTAGACAAGTGAACTAACAATCGGACGAAATGCGTTTATGCTTGCACGTAATTTTTTCAACTTTGGCCCGTTCAAATTATCGAATTTGTAAGATTTACTCTTTTTTCTGTTAAAACCAAATTTTTTCAGACATTTCAATTTCAATTTCAGACAATTATAAAAATCTCTCGTTCTTTAGAACTCTCTTTTCATAGCTTTAAAAATGCAATTACCCAAACCAAGCTTAAGATGTAACACAAGAGGAATAAAGCACAATGAATGAATCGGCAAAATTTATCGACGAAAGACACCCAACTTCTCTTGCAAGTTTGGCAAATTTTCTTTCTTAGAATTTGATCAAAGTGTTTGATTGTTCGAGCAGAATATTTCTGTCTATTAAAACTCATAATAACTTTTGTTGGATTTAGGATGTTGGATTTGTCCGAAAAGTAAGCATAAATAAAAAAGTTCATTAAAAACAAAAAAAAACACGATAAATATCTGGTTAGATTTCACGGAAAGATGCTGCTGAAATCACCGAAACACGACAAAATGTCGATTTGATTGGTGAATCCAAATAGGGTCATCTTCCAGCTACCGCTCTCGTTGCAGACCAGCTGAATTGTCACCGTCGTTAAATTCCCGGGCAGCGTGCCGAGAGTCCCATTGTTGAACTGAAATTTCATTTAGCTCTTGAAAAAAGTTTAATGGACTTCTAGGTTCGACAATGAATTTTCACCTCTATCATCGGTCTTATTTTATTTGGCCGATTCGAAGTGCAGGTCAGGTTGCGCACCGCGCACCCATCGACATCATAACTATAAAGGATTTTAAAGGAACTAAATAGAACTATAAAGGAACTTTAAAGGAACCAAATAGGAACTATAAAGGAACTATAAAGGAACTATAAAGGAACTAAATAGGAACTATAAAGGAACCAATAAGGAACTATAAAGGAACTATAAAGGAACCAAATGATCTCAATTCTTTCATTCAGCTCACAAACCCGATCACATTGTCATTATCGAACGGGACAAAGTAGCTGCTGTCGAGTTGAGTGAGAACTGTCGGCAGATCCAGCGAGCATTGAGCACAAGGCGCTGTCGTTTCCACGGCCACAGCCATCCACCAAACACCAAGGAAGACAACGGTCAGCGATCTCATCTCAACTTGATTGGCTTTGGCTTTGGATTTGGCGGTTGCTAACTTTTAAAGAGCTTCATCCATTGAAATTTACTCGATTTTCATTCACAGTGCCACGTCTAGCCGTTCATTCAATCGTTGCAGACAACTTTTCCATTCACTGAACTCGAAATGGCATTCAAATTCGAAATCGAACAAAGGATTTCGAATTTAGAAAGAAAAAAATCCAAAAATGGACACTAAATCAGGATTTTTATGGATGTGTGATCATTGATATTTTGTTTGTTTTCTGGACTTTTTTCTAGGATGATTAAAGTCTTTTATTGTATTAGGTTATCAGAAATGAAATGTCCGACACTTTGTCATGCCCGTAAATTTTCTTTTCACCATAGATTTCTTCTCATTTTTTGGTATTATATAGTAGGAGTATGAAAGAGAATAATTTCAAAATTTGAGCCACATTTGTAGTGGATCGGCTGAGATCGGTCAGATCAAAAAACCACAAACTTTTATGACCGTAAAATTCGTCAGCCACCATGAAAACATATGATTTTTTGATATTATATAGGCTACCCAAAATTGGGTAACTGAAACGGTTGTGTGCCAGAAAGAATTAAGATAAAATAAGAAATTGATCAATAAGAAAAAAGTTTGAAAAAACGATAAGTCTTTCTTTTATCTTGCAAGGGAACCTTTCCAAGTTAGCCGCGAGTTACAATATGAGGTAGGTGCCAAAAGAAAGGCCAGAAAATGTACGTTCAGAAACTGTTTTCAAAAACCGCTAATAGGCAAAAAGCACAAAGTGAGAGGCATTTGAGCCAACCATTTCGAAGAAATGAAGGCTTTTCTTCAATTTCTGGCACACTGACTTTTGCCGGCGGAAAGGCGGAAAGGCTTTCGAGTTTTCATCGCAAGAGTTTTCGAAAACAGTTTCTGAACAGTTTCAGTGACATTTTCTGGCCTTTCTTTTGGCACCATATTGTATTGGGTTGGTGAATTGATACAAGTCATAGTTTTATGTATAATACTCGGTTGGTGAATTGAAAACTGCGGACTATTCTCAAATGTGACAGTTTGAGCACTTTCTTCAAAAGAAACCCATTTTGGTGTCAATAGAAAAGTTGTAGAGAATCAAAAATCAAGCTTATATCCAAATAGTCAGAACGATTCAAAAACTGGTTTTCAAGAAATGCCAAATTTACGAATTTTCACAAAACTTGCATTTTAAGCGAAACTACTAAGTGCATCTTTTTTAAAATTTGGATATAAGCTTGATTTTTGATTCTCTACAACTTTTCTATTGACACAAAAATGGGTTTCTTTTGAAGAAAGTGCTCAAACTGCGACAACTCCAGATCTCCAGTCCTCCATTTTTGAGTCTCACACTTGTCTCACACACAAACCAATCTCTACCACGAAAGAGGAATCCGCAAATTGCCTGTAAAATGGGCACAAGGCGTCAATAATAATGGAAATTATTTGGAATGAATTTTGTTAGTATTTCATTTTTTTCAAATCACCCGTACTTTCAAAAATACGTCTTTGGTATCAAAAAATAGCTGACATTCAGAGCTATTTTTTGATACCTAAGCGCGCATCGTAGCATGAACCAGTGTCGAGAAAAACTCGTTCAAAGCTCGACTACGCAACACTCCGCCCCGTCATGATGGGGGTGGGGTACTATGACAGTATTTACGGTAGCTCTTATTCAACTCTTATTTCATTTGGTTCATCAGTCTTTTTTAACTCCACCGAATCCTCCACAGCCTAATCTCAGATTATCAAATTTTACAATCAATTTCTAACTCTCTGTCGCTGTTGAACCGATCAATTAGCTTTTTTTTGAAAAATTCTTTTCATTATCATTTTTTCGATATTTCCAAGTGCTTAAACTAAACTCAAATCATCAAAAAAAGTCAAACTTTTCCACGTCATAAATCAAAATTCTTTCAAAACCGTTTGACTCATCGAAATCGGAGTTCAAGTAGGGAAAAGAAATCGAAAAATTCTCTAGTATTGACATAGTGCCTTCTCTTTTTTTCTCTAACTTCTCCCCGAATTCCCCTCATTTCTTTTCCCTTATCGCAATACCCTCGGAATTTTCTTCTTTTACTTATAAATATTCCCAGAAAAGGTTAGAAATTTGATCTCAACTGGGTATGTTTTTTAAAAAATTTCATTTATCGATTTGGTGTTTGTTGTCAAAATTGTAAGATTTCTATTTGATTAATGAAATGGATTAGTGCGAAAAAAAGCAATTTTCCCTGAAAATATCGGGGCATAACTTTTTATATTGAAAAACGAAACCTTAGAAGTTGTAGTAAAAGGGAAATGAGTACAAAATGGGTTTATTTTTTTCAAAAACTTATCGCTATAATCCGCCGTCACCCTGTATATCTATTGGACTGATCACTTTCACTGATCACTTTGACTTTTTCACCTGACTTTTCACAACAGTTGAATATTCAATTTGTACATTTTGCCTGAATTTTCCAAAAAACAAAAAGCATCAGCCCGATGCGGGGCTCGAACCCGCGACAGCCAGATTAAGAGTCTGGTGCTCTACCGACTGAGCTAACCGGGCTACAATCGCCGGGTTAAGAGGGTGTTTATAAAGAAAAAAGATCAAAAAATCGCTATTTGAGAGGGTAGGGTAAAATGTCGAAAATAATGAAAGTGACAACTTTTTGGAAATAGCTGGGAAAATAGCTGGGAAATGTAATTTTTACCAAAGTGGCAAGTATTAGATAGAGAATTGTAGCCCTAATTCTTGGCACATCTATCTCTTTTTATATTCTTGGCAACATCTATCTC